TGTGTGTGTGTGTGTCTGTCTGTGCTCCGCTCCTCTATCTTGTGAGTGGAGCCGAGGCTGCTTAACATTATGGATGGCTGCTGTCACACTGAGGAGAAGGGATAGATTGATAGGGGAAGAGAGTGAAAGAGGGTGAAAGACAGAGGTTGAGACAGCGTGAGGAGTGTGAGACTGATAGCAGATGGTGTGCTAGAGACGGAGTCCTCCGCTCTTCCATCCTGCAGAAGCGCGGAGAACCCTGAAGAAATAAAAGGACGTAGTGATTGATTAAACAATTGATTTTCTCCTGCAACTGAGTCTCCTGTGTGCCGCGTCTACCTTCTGACTCGTCTCCTCAGCGCTGAAACATAATCCTTACTGGACTTTCTTGTTATTAATCAAACGCTCTTGTATTCACATTCAGTTTCTCATTCGCATTTGCCTGCCAGCAAACCACCTCTGGAATTGTAGCATCAGAGCAACACTGATAGAAAACATGACAAATTACATGGTGTTGTTCACAGACTCCGCTTAAAAGTATGAACATGACATTTAGTGAAATCCATTACAGAAAGCCTTATCTTCACTGTCAGACCAAAGGTGCCTGCTGGTGTTCTCATCTCTTTCGTACATCTCTCATGTTAAAATCCTTCAATCCGTTTACCTGCATGTGCATGTTTTAAGTTTTGTCTCAGAGAAATAGCTGAAGTTTTTGCACCTTAGATAAGGGATGTTTTCATGATGACATATTGGACCATTGTTAGGAAATTTTGGACTAGATGCATCTTTTATTCTGCCTCACCAAAGTGTTGGTTCCTGAAAACTCATAAGACCTCTGTAGGAGTTCTTTAGATCAGGATGTTTTATGTTTTTTGTTAAAGGAGTAACCATCCTGTCTCTGTCATGTAGATAAGATGAACCTTCAGACACTCTCCTCTCTCATCAAGATAATGAAGATCCTGACATAGTCACTTCGTACAGTGGTACCAAAAGGATTGGCTTTTTTTTTTTCATCAGCCATTGTAGGTCAAATAAAAACATAGAGTCAGAGAGACCTCCTCCCTGTCTCTCTGGCTCTGTGTTTTTAGGGGTTGTAAACATTTCAAGAAAAAAAAAAAAAATTATATATATATACACTGAGCCAGATATGGAACCTCCACAAAAGTGAGAGCGAGGAGGAAGATGCAGGTTGCAGGTAGATGACATCAAGATAAAGAATAGGGTGAGATTTAGTATGAGGAGAAAAAAAGTGTTCAAGTTCACACAGAGATCAGATCAAACCAAAAAGGAAATTTCTTTGAATTTCCCTTCAAACTAAATACGGTCTGTTCCAGTGAGGGTCAATCACTCCATGAGCATTATACCTTTGGGGATTTGGCTTCATAAGCTTTAGCCTCAAAAGAATCTATGACAATATACTGTACAAACATGAAATACTTTACCGTCTATCCTGTCTTGTAAAGCTGTACCTCCCACCCACCCAGCACTCTGGGAATTTGTTGAGTTTTGACATATGTGAGGGAGGCGGACAAATCTGGGGATATGGAGGTTCAGACGGAGTTGAAGGCATCATTGTTGCCCATGCACCACAAAGGAAGACAGCATATTTAAAGACTTTAAACATTTATGGAAGGATGCAGTTGAAGCTCGGGTCATGAATATATTTTCGCTTTTATCATTTTGTTTGTTAAAAAGCTTTTCTCATCTGATCTGAGCATCAAAACGTTCAAACTCAAGCAGGTGAAGATGTGTTTAGCTTGCAGAAATGCAATATTTTTAGATAAATACATAGGGTAAATTCAAATCATATGCATGATGAAGATGAAACTGATCTAATTTCTTATTTTTTTTGTCTCATAACCTCAGGAGCGTCTTCAAAGGCTTGAGTTAAAATGGAAACATGAAGTGAGTAGGTGTCGAGTGCTTCTCTGTGCATTTTTCGGGATCGTTTGATGGGTTTTGCCTCAGATCTGCTGTATAGGTGCAAATCACCATCAGCAGCCTGAGGATGTGACCTGCTGACACAACAAGCTATAAACACACTTTGTATCCATTTTGCCTCGTCATGGAGGCGACGCTGGCCGGCTTTTCAGGGGATAAATAAATAAGCATGAGGCGGGCAGAGAGAGGAGAGGTTATATCCATCGTCTGGGTCAACTGAAATTGGCCATCCTTCCTGGTAAACTCTAACTCAGATGTGACCTTTGATTGGTTCACAAGGTCTCTGGTGAGTTGTGTTTTCCAGTGCATACACGGAGTAAATGTGCAATGATATATACACAAGTACACTAAAAGCTGACACTGCTGACCTCCTTATGGATCACTTAGATTATTGTGTATGCCTGATGTTGTCAGACACTATTGACTGACACCAGTTTCATTTCACAAGAATGCTCTGCATCCTGTCAGATCTGCAATAACTTGGTAAAATGAGAAGTTGCATGACAAACCAAAAACAGAGCTGGGGTATTTGATTTAAGTTGATGAAGCTACAGAGTCTGTCCCCAACTTCCATCAAGCTCTGAGAAATCACACCGGGAAACTACAGGGCTTACAGATAGAGTGGTCAGAGTATAAAACAGTTTAATATCTGGATGATATCTGAAATGATGCACTAGGAGAAGATATATTGTTTACAATGAGCTGCAGGGTGTCAGACAGCAGGGGAGCCAGACCTGTCTTTGAGCAAGAGAAAATAGTTTCCTTCAAATAACAGCGTACATCTTTGGTGAAGCAAATCAAAGTCTTGGCTGACAATATAAGATTTCTGAGCCAGGTATATCCATTAATGTGGTGAGAGGTGTGTGCGGGGAGAGGAAAGATTCACACCAGCAAACATCTAGATGCGTCAGACGTCTTTGTTTTGATCATGAGTCTGCCTTTGATCACATTGTGTACACTGTGAAGTCTCATTTAGTCGGTCCGTGAAGCTGCTTAGCAAAGTTATCTAAGTAATTTCTGTTTTGAGCCTCAGTTGAAAAAGATTCTCACATGTAAAAGTAACCAAACTCAGAGTCATTATAAAGTTGTACATTCGTGCTCACTGTCGGAGCACTGTGAACTGATACTGAAACATTTTGGTGTTTCACAGACCTTCATCAGTTAGAAAACACATTTTTAAACTTGAACCACTTGGTCAATAAAAACTGCTTTCACAGACACCATGATCGATTTCAATAATTATTTAAGTAAGATAAACTGTATATCTTAATTATTGATGTTTGGCTCCAAGTGGAATACTTAATGGATGGATGGATTATTGATGATATAATCCAGTGGTTTCAAACCCCTTTGGTCTCTGACGTACCCCTATAGCCCTTCATGTAGACCCACCCAGTCATCAACACCTTTTACTTTCTAAATATCTCTATGAACTATATGCATCTTATTTAACAGGTGGCATGTAAACAGAAGTTGTTAATTATGCTTTCTGCAAGGTATGGAAACCATAGATCTGTAGATGTATGTTTTTGGACAATTTTTCAGTGGGTGAAGTAAAGCTCACATCGATAAACGTCACGCCACACCGAGAGAAAGAAGCTGGACACTCAAACTGAATCTACTGTATTTTGACTCATTTATTGATTTACTTATTTGCTCACATGCTGAGGAGTTTATATGCACTATCAACAGCAGCATGTGATGATAAGGTGTTGCAAGTGATTCAGAGAGCTGGAGGCTGTTTGACAAATGCACTATTTTTGCAAAATCATAACTTTTATTTTATTTTTTCTACAGTCTTTCCACACACACCCTGCCACCTGCAAATGAGTGCAACTGATTTGGGAATCACTAGTGTAATTTTCTCATATGCTTTGGGTAGGACCCCTGTATTGCTTGGTTATTATTAGTTTTGGAGCTAAAATTAAAGTATAAAGATGTTGTTTCTTGACCGAATCATTCCCCGCAGTGCAGTTCATGCCTCAGGCAACATTTCAAATCATTTTCGTCACAGTTTAAGTATTTAAAGCCATAGTATTCATGCTGAAAAAACAGCTTTCGAAGAAGTCTACCTTAAAATGTGTGCGTATAATAAAAATAGATCCTTAGTCATTTTGTTCTGAGTCACAGCAGTGACAACATCAAGGTAATAAATAAATGACAGGAGAAAAACAGTAATCTTTTTATTTGATCTTTTCCAATGTGCTCAAAGCAGAGAAGTAAACACTTGTTCTTTTAGAAAAGGACAGAGGTCGGTGTCACATGAAAACCCTTCAGAGCGTTGTTCATTATACAAACAATACATTTTTATCATATCGATACATGTGTGGTTACAAGGTGCCACACAATAATACTGTAGTGTTCTCACTTATTTACACAAGGAAAAAAGCATTAGCCCTTCAGGCTGTAAATGCTTGAAATGTAAAGGTGAAAATATTGACTGTATAAGTCATTTTTATGTCTTTATGATATAATAACAATGTGCGTGTGTGTGCGTGTGAGCAGCAGACAATAAAACTGAGCAATAAGGTGTTTGGCTTTTTCTATGGCTAAGGGCCTAAGAGAGAGAAAGGACCTGTGACAGAAAATAGGATGGAGGAGAGGAAACAGACACTTGACCAGGAAGAATCAGGCTCACAAACACACAATCACTAACTGGCAGTTGGGATAAGATGCGGCTCACTCACTTTATCACAACACAGTTCCTATGTTATTCAATTTGTCCTTCCATTCTCTTTCACACACGCACAGACACAGTTAAACATCTGTCCCAGGGGTACTTCTGTATTCCATCTCTTTTCTCAGAGGGGAGAGGAGGGTGCAAACACACGTCATGGAGAGGAAGCTGCTGGAGACCCACTGGACTGTACATCCCACAGTATCCAAACACAAACACAAAGTTCACAAAAAAAAAAAAACACACGTCCTGTAGTTCTCCTCACAGTTTACACATTAGACATTGAGCCTCACACAAAACAATGTAGCAGAAATATTACTTGGAGTTTTTGAGGATAAGTCTCTTTTTTTTTTGTGACACGGTTTTGCTACTGAAACAGTAAGCAAGAAGCCCCTTCGTCCCATTGGTCCTCGTGTTGAGAAATAATAGAAAGGTAGAGAAAAACTGAGTAGGAGACAGAGAGAGAAGAGTGATCCCACTATCTCACCTCACAAACAATGATTGTGAGGAGATTGTCAAGGCCTTCGCATTAGAATCAGTGAATGAGGTCACATTATAAGGTAAGAGTCTCTGTAAACCATTCTCCTCCTGTGCAGTTCCTCCAGTTCAGCCCACTGTGGTGTGCATGCATCACATTCGACTGTTGTGAGTTAGTGCATTGTAATTTAACAACGGGAGAGATAGTCAGTGAGGAGGGTGAATGAGGCGAAGCCCACATCAGAGTCCGAGAGCAGCCTGAATGGTGTTTGATGAAAGCCTCCTCTGTGAAAATGATCACAGCGCTTACCCTTGTACTTTAAACACCATTTCTGTCCCTTCAACACTTTGATCTGTGAAGCATCCCTTCATTTCAAGTGCAATCCCTGAAAGTAAAGGTGTGGAAGCACCCCGGGCCAGCACTTAATCACACAGCTCAGAACAGTTCAAATGTACGTCTGCAGGGAGAAGATGTCTATTAGAAACCCAGCCATGCAGGAAGTCCCCCCTCCCTCAGAAAGAGCGTTTCCAAGACTTACAGAGGATCTTCTGGAAGGCTCTGCGGAAGTCCTGGTTGAAGATGGTGTAGATGACTGGGTTTAGGGAGCTGTTACAGTAGCCAATCCAGAAAAAGAACTTGAACAGGGTCTCTGGGATCTGGCACGGCTCCCGGCAGATGCCGTACAGGCTGTAGGAAAAGAAAAAGGGGAACCAGCACACGACGAATACGCCCATGACCACAGCAAGGACAAAGGTGAAGCGTTTCTCCCTAGCGGCAGAGATCTTCTTCCGGTTGACGGTGCTCCTGCGTTTGCGGCGAGATGAAAACAGCTCCATGGACTTGGAACTGGCACGTGACTTTCTGCTGGAGTATTTAGAGGCGGAGCTGCTCTTCCGGCTGGACTTCCTGTCTTTCCTGTCATCGTGGTGATGTTTGGAGGAGGTGGAATTTTTTTTAGGCTTCTCATCCGATGAGCTGCTGTCCTCAAAGTCCTCGTCATGGTCTGTCGACGCGTGTTTCGGCTCGTTGGGTAGGGGGGACTGAGCTGCCTGCTCCTGGCAGTGCCCATTCTCACGTTCCTGGTCCTTCATGCTCCCGCCCCTGTTGGACTTGATTGACCCACCTGGCTCAGCCTTGTCCATCCCATTCTCCCGCGGAGAGTCCACATCCCTCTTCTTCCCTGACATTGTTCTGGTCCTGGTCTTTGCCACCTGGTAGATGCGGATATATACCAGGATCATGATAACGCATGGGGCAAAGAATGATCCAATGCTGGAGTAGAGGATGTACCAGGTCTCGTCGTTCAGGATACACTGGGGACTGGCCTCATTGCTGCTCCTGTCCATCGATATGAGCGGTGGGAAGGAGATGACAGCCGAGATCAACCAAACCACCACAATCATCCCTTTAACTCTTTTAGGTGTCCTCTTTAAGTTGTACTCTACAGCCTGTGTCACCGACCAGTACCTGTCCAGACTAATGGCGCACAGGTGAACAATGGAAGAGGTGCAGAATAAAACGTCCAGAGCCAGATAGATGTCACACCAGACTTTACCAAAAAACCAATAGCCCATGAGTTCATTTGCCAGAGAGAAGGGCATGACGAGGGTGGCCACCAGTATGTCCGCACTGGCCAGGGAGACCAGGAAAAGGTTCTGGGGTGGTTTCAGTGCTCTGCTCGTTAACACAGCGATGACAACCAAGACGTTCCCGACTATTGTAAACAAAATGAGGAAGCTGACAAGTCCAGCCAGACCCCAGATGGCCAGCTGGCTGTACTGGCTCTGAGAAGTGGAATTAGAGGAGATGTTTTCTGCCTCCATCCCGTCCTCCAGGCTGGAGCTGTTGAAATTCATTTTGACTGTCTCTTTCCTCCTCAGTGACCAAGGTTGGACTTTTTAAAAAATCAAAACGTGCGGGGATAATATGAAAGATCCCACGCGGACTTCGGCGGATTTTTCACAACAAAAATCTTCATCAAATAGTGTTTTTCTTCTTTCCTCACCTGCGTTATTCCACATACTGCGTGCAAGTGTTTCCTTAGGAAAAGCAGAAAGAGAGACGGGAGAGGGGGGGTCGCAATATGCAAAGACTTTTAAGTCCTTATTCCAGAAAACGTGCAGGACGAGCAGCAGCGCAATTTCCAGGGTTGGAGTGCGGGGTCCCTCCTCATCTCGTCCTCTCCCATCCCGACTGCGCCCGCATCTCTCCACCTCCGCCTCCCCGTCGTGTCCTGAGAGAGGTTTGTAACAACCACGTGTCTCTCTCTCCCTCTCTCTCGCTTTCTCTCTGTTTTTTTATTTCACACTAGGAAAAAATAGCAGGTGCGCGCTCCGCCTTGGAGAGGAGGTGGAGACTATTAGCGGAGGAGCCGGTGAAATAAGCAAAGAAATCTGTTCCTCAGTGTAACTTTATGTGAAGATCAGCTGTAAACTGCTGCTGATGCAGAGAGGTGCGCTTGTTTCATGCGTGTCCGGTGCAGCCCAACAAGCTGGCTGCAAGTCAAACAGCCGATCAGCGCGTCTTCGATTATTTCACTTCTGAAGGTCCGCTCCTGCAGACGGGGGCGCGCACCTGTCCATTTTAATAGACACGAGTGATGCTCGAGCTGCGTGATGGAGGTCACATTGCTGTCGATGCGCACTGCTCCGTCCTTCTGTGCGCACGCTGGAGGTCAGTGTTGTAACAGCCTGTCCGCGAGGGACCAGCACACACACACACACACACACACACACACAGAGGAGCATCTTGAGCTATAAGCAACATCATATCATACACAGCCTTTAGGTGAATATATTTTCCTGTTCCCACGGAAAGAGTGTGTGTGTGTGTGTGTGTGTGTGTGTGTGTGTGTGTGTGTGTGTGAGTGTGTGTGTGAGTGACCTTGTGTTGGAAATTTCATTTCCCTGTCTTCCCCTGCCTTTATTAGTTTGTGTGTTTGTGTTGTGGTAATTGTGTTGATAAGAAGATTATGGGATTACATGGTGCAATTGACATGTGATGAATCTTAGGCTTTTTGGAAATATCAAAGGTGCTAAATCATCTGCATGGAAAACAGTGTGCAGTGCTTGTGTGATTCAGGATCATAGAGTGGAAAGTAAGAGGTTCATTCCCTGGATGGGTTTAATGTAAAGAGCTGAATCTCTCATTATCTACATACATGCTCCTTTTGCACTTATTTAGAACATGAAAATATTCCGAATTTAATCTTGAAGACAGAATAAATCTTTCTTTTCTTTTTTTTCTACAAATGTGGCTCAATTTTCTAATTAAAAGACATGTGGCTGACCAGTTTACGGTCAGCTTGTAAGTTTCTGAGGGCAAACCCACCTCTCTGGAAGGAAGAAAAAATACACCTGTTTTTAAACAATGAAACCCTTAAACAGGTTTTCCTCCTCTGGGAAATACAGTTAGAAAGGGCCATATACAGGACAAATATCATGGGGGTGTTTTAATCAGAGCATTGACAGCTGCAGCCATCTAATTCGACTATACACAGCTTTTTCATAGAGGGTTGCAGGGGGAGCTGAAGCCAACCCCACCTGACATTGCAGGAGAGGCGGGTTACATACTGAACTTGTTGCTGCTGTATGCACAGCTGCATGTAGGGACTGTTAGTGGAATATTTTTCAGTCATGTACAAAGCCTAATAATATTTTCATTCTGTAAGTGAATGATTTTTGGTTTATCTTATCTGGAGATATTTTGGAGCACCCTGTATCTTCCTCCGTCACAGTCTGCTCTTGACGTGCCTTCTCTCTCATTGTCTTTCTCTAACTTTCAGGCTTTTTTATTTTTGAAAGGATGGTGCAGCAGCACACTGCACAAGGTTGCTCAAGTTAAATCCAAGATCACACAAGAAAAGTCAATTAAAAATGGTGAAAAGTTTTGCTTTTTTTGCCTTTTTGCTCTCTGCTTGTGTTAACCCTGTCTGATCTGGGTGGTGCTACCACCTGAAGAGAGCCTGTCTCTGCTTTGGATCGTATTAAGTTCCTGGACCAGTGTGTTTATTGACTGTGTCTCCCTGCTAAGTACCTGCCATTAATCACAGCGCGCTCACCCATACTGAATTAAAGAGCAGACGCAGCCGCGAGAAATGCTCAAGTCCAAATTGATCCTCATCAAGGCTGTGAGGTGGAATGAGTAGGGCTCAGGGGGCAGCAGTCAATCTGCCTGTATGAGACACACAATAAGAAGGTGGACCGTCTCCAAACTGTTCCCACACCAAAGCCCAAAACACCCTGCTGCCTCATGCTGATGTATAAATTGAACTAAGACGAGAGTGATGCTGAAGGTCAGCGTGGATGCACTCTCTCTAAGTTGATTTTGAACAGACAGACAAGCCTGATTATGGTCATTAACTTGTGTCCTGGGGCAACAGCTCTGTCCATATAACTGGGGCACCAGTGAGCGATCTCCGCCATTACCCAGCTCTTTTCTTGTGTTCAACATTATTCTCTGCTTTGAGGGAACAAGAATCTCCTTAGCACTATCCAGCAGCCAACTTTAAGGTGCCAAGAAACCTGTGTTGATTACTTGTATCTATTTTAATCAAGGCTTTGTGCCTTTTCACTCTTTTCAAACTGGTGACATTGTAAATTATCTCCCTTTTTGTGCTGTTTCATTCTTTGTTGTTAGGCTCAATCGCTAAAGTTGTACAACGTGCTTGGTTTGCAGCCCTATGCACTTTTATTGAAAGGCCACACTGCAGCATTCTCTCTTCAGGGGAGAACGGGAGAATGAAGGAGATGACCAGAGCTTCCTATTAAAGTCTAAGAGAGAAGCAATAAGATCCTAATAAGATCCTGTTAAGTGAAGCCTCAAAAATGTAATCACACCTGATGTGTTCTCACAAAGCAACATGAGCAGCCTTTTTTGGCCCATTGAAATCCAATACAGTAAACACCCCTGGCATTACTCTTCCTCAGCTCCTCACTATAGATACTGTATAATGCCACAGATGTCAACCACTACTTAGGAACCTGTACTTCTACCTTTAACTGTCACACGTGTAACAAGAGCACTTAAAACATTTAGTCACATGAAGGCAAATTCCCCAAAGAAATCAGAGCTGCTGCTGGTAATAACAGCGGCTGGTAATTTTCTCACCCTCCCTAACATGTAGTGGATTCCATATAGGCCCTCTCTACATAAGGGGGGGGGGGTTCTGACAGTGACAAATGACGGTGCTACCTGGGCAGGCAACTACAGAGCCAAGAACAAATAGTTCAGGAAGCAACATCCAGCCCAGGGGAGTTTCTCTTTCGCTAGCATCACCTCAGTGAACAGGGCCAGCTTCTTATCTAGTGCCTTTACTTTGACAAATGACCTTGTAGGAAGAACAGTAAAATGAGATGAATGGAATAGTTAATTTGGATTTTGGTTGGTTTTGGTTCTCTCTCTCTCTCTCTCTCTCTCTCTCTCTCTCTCATACATTGTATATCTTGGCGTTTGGTTTAACTTGAAACAGAAGGGCCTTTTTTTTATATTTTCTTTATAAGACATCTTTATTTCCATCTTCCAAACACTCTTTGGTTTTTTTCATATTCATTCCACGTTTGTTCGATCAATGGTATTCAGTGCACAACTCCTTTTGGCTCTGTCAATTTCCAAATCAATCTTCACAAGGCTGCTGAAAGTGAAGCTGCATTTTGAGGATAACTTTATTGACGGACTGGCATTCTATTTTGGAAATTAAATCAAATGTGGCTGATGTTCAGCACTAAAACAATTCTACAGTTAATGGAGGATAAAAGACAAGTGAAACAGATGTAGGATGAGGCTGTAAAAAGATAAAGGCTCTTTTCCTCAGAGTACTTTGGCATTTCAGATTTTGGACTGTTGTTCATCTGAAGGAGCTACAGTACTGACGTTTTTATCTGCACAGATTGGACATGAAAAGCGAGCAGATGTGTTATACTTTCACTGATGGCTTGGAGGCATTTGCTGGTGATCAGTGTTTTATATAGTGCTGCCTGGGGGGGCGCTTAAAGAAGCAGGAAGACCTGTATGCATGCTAAAAATATATATATTGTCATAAGCATCTTTTAGCTTGTCACGTGATGTTAGAGAGGCTATAGTTCTGAAAGTTAGTTCTTCAACTTGAAAATGACCTGTGTATTCCTGTGGATCAGCAAGGACTTATACTCTGGAAGGCACGTGGTCCGACATTATAGCAAAGACAGAGCAGTAAACATATTCAGTTTATATTTTAACTGGACATAAACAGGTTTATTGATACAATTCCATTAAATTTTTTTCAATAAAAGTACATTAATAAATATGGCTAAATGAATAAAGATTTATGACTCAATCCCTGTTTAACAAGATACCAATAAAACGTGGTTGCTTTAATACATGCACTGAACCTCAGATTATCTTGTGAAATAAGAGAACGCAAATGTGCGGGTCAGTTACTGCGGACATTAGTAAAAACTTGGATAATGTCTGTGTGAGCCCATATGAGAATACAGCAGTGCATTGATTATAGACCTAAAAGTGAAAAAACAAATACACAAGTAGGCCAATATCTCTTGATGAATGAGAGGAGCCTTACACATGGATGACACCGCCGAAGATGTCAACTAAAAAAGACGACAAGGTTCGAGAGGTTTTGGTGATAAGGACTATCATTGTTGTCAATGTGCTGTGAATAGAAATTAATGCATCCCTGCACCAGAGAATCTCCTGCTGCATTCTTCATGTGTGAAAAGCAAAGGACTCAATTGTGCAGACATTCTCTGAAGTTCATGTCTGTTCGTGTGTGTTCTGTAGTAATGATCAGCATGATGGGAATATGATGCACTTAAAAACAAACTAAAGTCAAGAGCAAGACTGCTGCAATGTTAGAATTCAGTTGCAAGGTTTTCTGTTTCCATGTGACCTTTTATCATCAGGCTAAACTAATATTAAGGCTCATCTTCAGCTCATTCCTACTTAAGTGTTTACGAAGAAGAATGAGACCACGCCAATTCAGACCAATACATAAGTCCCAGACAAGGTCGTCTGCTGTGTGGCTCATCTGTGTTATTCAATCTTTTCCGAAGAAGTATTGTACTCTGTAGCTTTAATTAACAAATGTGGTTGTAAATACAAATTATATGGCATTTCTCCAGACATACCTTTTGCAAATCCGCTGTAGAGACATAAATCTTTG